CAAACTTTATCTCTCTCTCTCTCTAAAACTCCATCTCTCTCTTTGCGCTTCTCGGTGAGTTTACCAACCAAAGGGTTTAGCTTGAGCTCGAACACGAGCACACCTTATGTGTGAGAGAGAAATGGAGTCTTAGAGAGAGAGAGAGATGGAGTTTGGGTTTTAGAGAGAGATGGAATTTTAGAGAGAGAGAGAGATCGAGTTTGAGTTTTAAGGAGAGATGAAGTTTTGAGAGAGAGACGATGATGTGAGAGAGAGAGAGACGGAGTTTGGGTTTTAGAGAGATGGAGTTTTGAGAGAGAGAGACGATGATGTTAGAGAGAGATGGAGTTTTAGAGAGAGAGATAGAGTCATTTTATAATTTGTTGAGGTCAATAATACATAGTCAAAAGGGTTTAGGGGGTTTGGAAGATAGAAAAGATGAAGTCATTTTGCTTACAAATAATATTTTCAATTTTTGGGTCTGATGAGATATAGAAGTTAAAAAGAGGGAATAATATGATATTTTCCCTTATAAATACTTGAAAATCCTGAAAATAGACAGTCCAAATAACGTGTTACAAGATGCAGTACTTTCAAGACCTGAAATTTTTTTTTTTTCTTTTATATCCATACATTTTGAGGTCAATATGATCCAATTGGAAGGTTTTCAAACTTAGGAACACTCTTTTCTACTGAATTTTTGATGTACACCTTACTTCTTACTTTTATAGAATAAGAGTACATCTTTATATAAATTTTTTTCACCTTTAAAAGCATCAACAATGTATTGCTCCCCAGTCTGATGTAATAATTTGGAATAAAAAGGTAAATTCCTTGATGGGGCATACTAAATGGGACATTTTGTTTAGAGAAATTAATGCAAATATCTCTTTATAGAGATATTTGAAAAATATCCCTAACATTTTCTATTTTACTAGGGCATTCGTTTTATCCTCTTCTTTTTTGTTTTTCCAAAATGGCCCATTGTTTAGCATTATGAGTGTCAAAACTTCATAAAAAATAATTCCATTGTTATGTTTGGCACTCAAGTGTTGAACTTTGTTTTGAGCATTGCTCAAAATAAGGTTATGCACTTGGAGCACTGGACCTTATTTTCAACATACCCAAAATAAAGTTTGGCAATCTAAGTCCCCAACTTTGTTCTCACCGTAACCCCAAACAAAGTTTGTAAAGGGGCATTTCAAGAAACTTAAAAGATTTCTTATTTATCCATTTACTCCCTCGGCCAAAAAAAATATTGTTTGGATCTCAAATTTGGGAAATGTAATATCTGCAACCCAAGGGGCCGTCACTTGGTGTGATAGTAAAATGTTTGGGTAGTGCAGGTTCGAATACTGAGAGCGGCCACTTTGTGCATAAGCTAAAGGTTAAGACTGTTTTCAGCCCACCCCTCCTGGGACTTTGTATAGGTGGGACCAGCACCAGGTTATGACCCTTTTTCTTCTTTTTCTTCTTCTTCTTTTTCTTTTTTTAATATTTACAACCCATAGACTGATCTTAGTAAAAATAATTTCTTAAATAACTCTTACTAAAAAAAACCTAATGCATCAAGATTGAATAGAGGCCATCAAATTTTTGAAAGGCTAGATCTAGGTGTTGCATCCCAAAATTTTAAACAAAAAAAACAAAATTCCTAAAGAGGTATTTTGAGAGAAGAAGTAGATACAAAATATATGCTCCTGTGGGAGCATAGTAGTGTGGTTTCTATAAGGTTGCAACCTTAAACAATCCAATTAAGGAGTACCTCCAAATTTTATCCGAACATGTAATTTTGGTCTAAAACATTATTAGGATTATCTCAAAATATATTTTTATACCTAATTATAAAATTTTTAACTCCAACAATAGTTAAAATTAAGAAAATTTATAAACATATGAAAATCTTGAAAATGGACTGTCGAAATAACGTGTTACAAGATGCCCTATTTTTGAGATTCAAGATTTTTTTTATTTTTTTTGTATATCCATACATATTGTTGTTGAGATGATCGATTAGAGGGCTTTTCAGCATTAAAAATAACTTTTTTCCAATGGATTTTTGGGGTGCATCCTTATAAAAACTTTTCCTTACCTTAATTACCAAACAAAAGGATAAGTTAACTTCCCTTTAGTTATATAAGGAGACAATAGATAAAATAGAGATAATTAGGTTTTGTCTCATGCATCATAAATTTGCACTGAAATCTGTTTTGGATGAAAAAGCGCTACCCTAAGTTTGGTGGGTAGGTTGCACTTCCCGTAAGCATGCCTCTTTTGTTGCCTTTGGACCCCTTTTCATATCCGGTTCAAGAGAAGCGAGATATTCGCTTTCTATTTTAAAATTCGCTGCAAAAGGACGCATGCCAGACATGGTGATGATTATTTCTAATATTTTCAGACATCACAAAAATTACAATATCTGGGAAAAAAAAAATGGATTATATACTCTCGGGAGCAGACTGTCATTTGATGGTTGCTTTTGGGGGGAAATACACCAACCTCTTTACTTGATCTAGTGATTAAACAAATCAATGATTAAAGAATCGCCATGGCTGTCCTGGATCCGGTAAAAAATTGGGATTCGGTCGATTCAGAATAATCGACTCGTCGATTTTTTTGGGGAACAGTCGATTCTACCGATTCTGCACCGAGTCCGACTAATTCTTCACCAAGTCAAGCAGGAAAAAAAAAGGATGAACAATTTTTTCTTTAATTATTTAAAAAATTTTGGAACAAAAAATCACCAATTTCGCTGATTCTTCCAATCCGATCTACCGATGCTCCTGATCCAATACAGGTATGGGTGTGTCTGATTCGAGTCACCAATCTGATTTTTTAAACACTAGTTTGATCCAAAACTTTTTAGACCATATTCATTCATCTCAGTGATCAATACAAGAAAATACAAAAAGAAGAAATTGCACTAAAAATGTTACAAACAAGCAATGGCTATATGGGTAACCCGTGATCTTTTGGCATCTTTTCGATGAATGATCCACAAATAAATTTTTTGTTTGGGTAATTCAGTGGGGAAGACAAGCCCCTACGCATTTTAGATCAGGAGCTGGTTTTTTGAAGGCATTAGTGAGATGGTATTAGTGGTGAGAATGAGAACCACAACGTAGTGACTAGGGTATTGGGGTGTTACCTCCACTACCCCAACCCCTTTCCCTAACTATCAATACGGTTGTACTACTGAAAAGCTAAAACCCATGATTTCCCATCAAAACTCTTCCCATTTATATTTTTTTGAGCTGATTTATATTTTTTCAGGTCTACTTAAATCCCCACCCATGAACACCAATTTAGATTTTTATTTCATTTTATTTATTTTTAATACTTACTATATCATCCATTCAGACCAATTCAAACTTGATCCCCGTTGAACACGGATTTGTGGGTAAAAGATGAGCCGCATGTCTTGAGCTTTGAGACATTGCTAAAAAAATTAGGTTTTTCTTTAAGGAAAAAAAAAACCTAACTGGGTGTTTTACTTGTAGGAGCAAGCTAAAACTTGCTCCTTCGGAAGTCGCTACAAGCGTTCAAGCAAACGCTTCGTATTCCTTATCAGAACTATTTCTCCATATAACGCTTAGCAAATGAAGACCACCTGATATAATAATAACTAGTGATTTAAAAAACGTCGACTCGGCATGGAATCATTTGGTTCAATCAAATAATCGATCATTCTGTATCGATTCTGTCAATATATATAGAAATCATCCTGGTCTAGAAGAGAATCAATGATTTGTTATAGTAAAATAGCATTTTGCTACAAAAAAATACTATTCACCAGTCTGGACCAATTTTTTATTAGTTCACTATTTTTACATGTTTTTTTTCTCCAATTAACTATTTTTTCTGCACACTAAAACCGCGATCTGAACTGCCGATTCATCGATCTGGACCAGCTTTTGCGATGCCCCATCTGGGTCATTAATTCATTTTTTAAATCACTGGTAATAACAAAAACGAATGTGACAACAACCATGATAGTAAGTGTTTAGACTTTAGAAACCCAGTGGTCCCGATTGGGATGAACCAAATCAAAGGGTTCCTCACACCTCATAATAATGCCATTCGTTTATCCGGATTAGCAGTTTGCCAATCCAAACCGAATTTTCAAATAGCCAGTTCATCCAATTGATCTTGATTTCAAAACGATGGTGATGGTGATGGTGGTAATGATAATGATGAGGGTAAAAGTAACAATAATAGTAATATTCTTACTATTTTTAGCTTTATTTTTACACATGGCCTGGATAATATTTCAGGTATTACGTAATGAATTATGCTCAACGATGCCCTACCCCCCTCACTGACCTTTTTCTTTTTATGTTATTTTTTGGCTTTTGCCCTTTAGTCCAATGTTTTTGCCATCCGAGCTGTTTATTTATTTATTTATATATTTTCTTTAGACGTAGGGCATCACTTTGTACCAACATAATGCGGTCCAATATATAAAAATATGGGGGGACATTTGACTAGCTTGTCTGTGGCAATTAGGGGCATTCGAGGAGATCCAATGATGTCGACATCAGACCGGCCAGTGGACTCAATCTAGTGAGTAATTCGATATCTACAAGATGGGATTGCCTAGTCTGTGGCTCTCAATCAAGTGCACAGTCCGGTGTCTTAACAACATGGGACTACTTGTCCGTGGCTTTCAATCAAGTGAGCAGTTCGATGTCCAACATCATAGGATTGGCTAGTCTATGGCTATCCTAAGAAAAACTCAACCCAATGACCCAAAAATCGGATCAGCCCCCAAGTTGTCCTCAAATACATCTGAATAAAATAGAAAAAGTACAAAAAGCTAAGGTGATGTTAGAAACATCAGCATGGGGGCAGAGTGTAATTTACTCCAAAAAATAGACCATTACGTGATACCAAAAATATTTTGTGGTCAGTGAATACAATTTCCTAAAATTTATGGGCATTACAAGTTAATTCCATCCATTGAGTTCATTACTTTTCAAAATAACAAGAAAACCAAGAAAGAAAAGGGATAAGCAACAAAAGAAGCAAATATATAATTCTTATTTTACCAAAATTGATTGTTCAAAATGCCAGAAATTCTGCAAATTTTCGGCTCTTCATCACACGCAGCACGCAAGAGGGATTTGAGTAATGTGCCCACATTTTCTTGAATACATAAAGAAAGGGTAAAATCCAGAGGATAACTCATAGCAAAAGACTCAAACTACCCTCCTCTCTCTAAAAAATCCAAAACCCTTCACTCCAAATAAAACACCCAAAATACCCTTACATTCACCTAATTTCCTTTGGCCCAAACCTCCCACTCATCTTCTGAACCTCACCCTTGCTCATCCCAAACGCCTTCTCCAATAGCTCCCCATCAATCCCAGACCCAAAAATAGTAAAAGGCAACTTCTCCAACCCTGGATTTTGACTATTAAAACACCCAAAAATTACAGCATTGCCCTTGCCCACATTCATTTGGAAGTGAACCAAGCCCTTTGGAAAAACCATGACCTCACCATTTTTCAAAATCCTCGCAAAGATCCGGTTGTTCGAGTCGACAAAACCGGAATAAATCTCACCCTCAAGAACATAAGCCAGTTCTGTAGCACGGGGGTGAAAATGCGGTACATTGACGGCACCCCTGGCGAATTCGGCTCGCACAAAGGACATGCCTAAGGTGTTGAGGCCGGGGAAGAGGCTGGGGCCCACGGCGAGGGCAGAGAATCCAGCAGCTGAGATGTTCTCGGGGGAAAGGGATTGGAGGGTGTAGATGAAGTCCTCAACGGTAGCATTAGATGGGTCTTTGCAGGGGTGGTTTGGGAAGTTCGGGGAGTGGCCGGGGTAGTGTGTGGATTTCGGGGCAGCAACACAGAAGTCGAAGAGGGGGTCCGGATCGGCCGAGGCGGCTCGGTTCAGGATGAGGAAGTGGAAGAGGAAAAGGAGGAGGAAGAGTTGTTTAGTCATTTTGGAGAGCTACGGGAGGCCCTGTGCGGAGCGGGGCTCGTTCCGTTCGGGGTTTTAAAGAACACGCTACAGAGACTGGGTTTAGAAATACCCCTGACTTGTGGGAAATATCGAGAATAACGCAAGACAAACCACTTTGTGCATCTGTGTATATGCGCGGCACAAGTTTGCAACATCATGATACTCATTCAAACATTCAAAATAAATGAAACATTAATTAAGGGTACTCATTCAAGCTCAAGAAAAATTATAAATAAATGGACATAAAAATAAAGGGTTCGGTATAGAACCGAGGCTCTAAACAATCAAAGTAAAGTGCACCTTTAAATAGTATCGAAAAATGTGGTTTCAATGTTGGAATCTTTGTGATAGCCATAAAAAATATATTTTCGTCTTCAATTATAAAATTTAAAGAATGAAAAATAGTATAGATCAAGCAAATCTATGAGAACTTGAAAATCTTAAAAATTGATGGTCCAAAAATATGTTACGAGATGCATTATTTTTAAAATTTGAAATCTAGTTTTTTCTCATGTCCATGCATCTTGATATCAGATGATCAATTTGAGGATATTTAGGCATCAGAACAACCTCTTCTAGTGATTTTTTTGAAGTGGGCTCTAATTTGATTTTTTTAAAGTGGGCTCTAAATTTTTTCAACACAAATTTAGAAAAAGTCATGCGTCTTGACTCTTAAGTGCCTGAATAATTATTTAAATAGGGATATTCCAATGCTGAAATAGGGTAAGCAAACCCAAAATTCACTCTAAAGTATGGATGATTGATAATTAATATTCTGTATTTTTTACCTTAATATTGTACACTTTGCAAGGAAAGCATCCCATCCCTGGTCTAAAATTTGAGAAGTAGTAGGACCAAATTGGTATTCTAAACAATGTCCCAACTCCCTGAATTTTTGGTTCATATTGTTGTTTAATTGGATCCAAAAATGAGTGACTATAATACCGGGCCCTGTGTGAGAGACGGTGGAATGTTGAGTGCGTTGTAGGTCCATATGTTTACTCCCTATATCTCTTTATATCTGAACCGTTTACTCCCAATACCTCTTTAAATCTGAACCGTCGCTTAACAACGAATCAAAATCATACTGTCCATTGTGGGGGGCCCTGCGGCTACAGCGGTCCACGTGGCGCATGCGTGGCTAAGGAGAAAATGATTTTTTGTGAGGCGACTTTTACCCGTGTGCTTCAAATGGAAGACTTTTTAAGTAATGCTCTCCCTTAGGATGTAAGGTTTTTCCTTTCCCTTTTCTTTGTATTTTTTTTTTTTTTTTTTTGATTTTTTTGAATGTTAAACCTTTTCCTTTTCTATAAGGCATGTAGTATGAGCATACTGTAGATTAGCTCCTTAGAGGTGAAAGTCTCTTTTCGAGGTTGGTCCCCAGGTTTGAAAAGTTACACCTCCAAAATTTGGGCTTTATCTAAGTGAAGAAATAGACAATATGCTCCAATATCATCTTAGAGGAGCACAAAACATTTTAGATTTTTATATTTTTTCTTTCGGGTCCTCGGTTTCGTGCTGTATAATTGAAAAACATATTTACATCTTAAAATTTATGAGGCTTAGTCGTGGTGGTAGTACGCCTCATACCTTAGTTGTACATCGTGCTCTTCAATCCCACTAATAACTTCAAAAACCTAACTATTTAAAAAAAGATTAGGGACCTGTATTTTCTACTGAATTACCCATGAAAAAAAGAAAATTAATGAAGCTTTACCTATTAAAGGAGTGGTTCTGCTCTTTGTAAAATTTACCAAGAACGACAGCTACCAAACACCACACAAATAAATCATTTGGGTCAAAATGGTAAATTTACAAAAAAAAAAAAAGAAAAAGAAAAAGAAAAATATCATTCATGTGATAAAGTGAGAAAAATCTAGGGACCTTCTCAAATACTATTCTCCCAAGTCCTCTCCTTGGATAATACTGATAACTCATTTAGTGTAATTTTTGGATGGTTGTAATGATTCTTGTCCATGAGTAACATGTCAAATTCATTGCGCGATTTATTGAAGATTCGTAATTTTAAACAATAACTTTAACCAAATCTCCAAGGTGGGCTAACTATTTACCCAATCAAATATGAAAATGTAGTTCATACGTCGGGAGACACAGTTCTATATGTACGTCCCCCAAGACATTGAACCATCCAACCAAAGATGGATGTAAATAATGATCCTTCACAAAAAAAAAGGGTAAATCAATGACTCAAATATTTCCTCCTAAAAATACCATTTTATTTTTTAAGTTTTTTATACAATCTCCCTGATAGGGATTATATATTCCTTAAAAATCAGGGTCAAAATTTATTTAGAGACCGAATTTCTACATATGAGTCCGAGGACTCATAGAAACAGTGCCGATCAAATAAACGGCTCTATGGTCTGTATGTTTTTAAAACGCAAATACCAATGATCAATTCGACATATACTTAAAAGTTTTGCAGAAAGAACTCGTGTTTGTTTTGGAAAAGTAAAATTGTGAGAAGCAAGCCTCTAGAGATTCAAAACGCGGGCATTGGATCTATCGGAGGTTAATTTTCAATATATTACAATTGCTATGGACCAATGAACATGCTTTTATGGCAAAATATGGCGTGACCCAAATGATCATAAAAATAATAGTGATCATGTGATTCATAACCATAAAACCAATGGGTTGGTCAGTGATGGAGGGAGAGTAGATGTACAAGATCATTAACGAAATGTTTAGTGGAACCCTTTCCCCTTTATTACCATCGAACCCATTGATGGGATAATGATAATCACATGATTATGGTGTTGCTATGACGTGTGGATCATATTGTAGGGTTTCTATGGTCATTAAAGGCTTTATGAGATGATGTAATCAATATCTAATATAGTGGATCAAAGAACACTAAGAGATTGTGGTCCAAGGAACCAAGAGATTTTGGTCAAGAGGACCGAGATAGGCAAATGCTATATGCCAATAATTAGACATGGCTTGATGAGCTAGGCCAGTCGAGTTGAAAAAACCCCGAAATACTTGGGCATAGAGCACAATTGAAGATGGTTTATGGGTGGTCCCTTGATGATGTAGGAGTTGCTTAAGGGAGTAAGCCAAGAGACTATGTGATCTTTGTGTATGATGGATGACCTCTAAAGATGAAACTCAAAGCCTCATAACTTAACCATCACACGACATGTGCATATGATAGCCTTATCAGGAAAGCAAGAACCCATTCAGTGTGCAGCATGCACAAGTGTGAGAGAGTACTCCTATACACTGTAAAGTTGTGGTTGTATACGGTCTATGAGACGATGGGCTCGTGTCAAAGGGAGAACTTATAAACCCCTACAGTGGTTTGTGGATCATAGAAACTGCTAGGTCAGTTTGAGAAAGTAATTGTAGATTATAGTCCACAGTAGAAGATGGAGTACTTCAAAATTATTAATTCTTAAATCTTGAAGGATCATTTTCCATCAAAATTATTTAATTTTGTCTATTTTGATGTTAATTGATTTTTAGAATGATTATTTGAATTTTATAAATCTCTGGATATTTTATTTTTGTAAAATGAATTTATAAATTAAGAAATATTCAATTTTTCAGCATTTAAATAATCAGAGAAAATAAAGTTTATTTTTCAAATACTAAAAATCAATTTTATAATTTTAAAAATTTATTTAATAAATCCATAGGGGCCCATCAAGATCCCATTGGGATGTCCGTGAGGCATACTCTGGGAGCCGGCACGCCATATTGAAAGTGGGGAATTCTCTACAATTATGAGATCTACTTATTTATGATATATTGATTTGGATCTTGTCTTGTTAACCACGTCAATTAAGAACAAGATATGCCTTACGGAATCATAACGAGATTAAGACTTCTAAAAGGAATATAAATAAATAAGATATACCTTATGAAATCCTAAAGAGATTAGAACTTCTAAAAATAATATGTATAAGTAAAAGAGATTTATACAAAGATATATATTTTTATAGTTTGAGATAAATATTTTCGAAACTAAATGATAAGGTTTTGCATCATCATTTGAATCATAATGGTTGACCTAACGATTGAATGACTCAGATCTCCCACCCCACAAGTCTCCTAAAATCATGGTCTGGATCAATCTACAACAATGGTTATCCCTATAGAACTCTTTCCCCCTGCAAAGTTTATAAATAGATGCCTCCTCACTTCTCATTGTCTACACCAAAATTCTCTCTCTTTGTCTCTCTCTCAACTCTCTAGGATGTATTTGAGAAATTCTTCTCTCTCTCATGACGAATCATGCATATTTAAATTTTTTTAAAATTCATAAATGCTGTTACATCTACTTCATGACAGATCATAAGTATAATGTGCTCCTAAGGGAGCACGATGAAACATCATATAAGACTAAAAAAACATTAAATGCTTAAGTCTACTTACTTTTTCACTTCTTCCAAAATAAAATAGCCAATATTTTTTTTACTAAAAGATAATATACTCTAATAGAGTACATTCATAAATTTTATAAACTATTAAAAAGAACACAATCAAATTTGATTTGTATATGATAGATCATATAAATTATATTTTATTTTAATGAGCATAAATTCAAGAAAAAGGTCAAAGTAAAACAAAAAGTTATTAAGCTCAATAAAATTATAATTATGCAATAAATTTATATTTGAATAATACATTTAATTTATTGACAAAGTCATAATTCAATTTATAAGTATTTCTAATGTTATTTCAAATTATAATGTTGTTTCAAATTATAAGTACTTCTAATAAGCATTATAATGTTGCTTAAAACAATTATTATAATGTTAATTCAAATTAATTTTCTATTATTTTTATATACTAACTTGAATAGTCAAAATGGCATCAAAGTGTAAGTTAACTCTCTTTTAAAATTTGAATTTTTACTAAAAATTACGAGAAATTAAATTTTTTATTTTGGTATCATAAAATTCTATTTTGGCTTTGTGAAAAGGTATTTCTCAAAGTATAGTATTAAAATCATGCTTTTTTGAACTAATTTTACTTGTAATTATTTCTTTTAAA